GGCTAAGCCTATGTGTGACCCCCAAGGGTTTCTGCCTTGCTGAGGGCTGCTGGGTGGATTTAGTGGCATAAATTGTCTCATCTCCTTCATAGTAATTCTTAAAAGAAAAAAAAAAAGAGATAAAAGAATAGATGACCTCCTGCTTTGGATTTTTCTCTCGTAAAGCAAAAATTATTAAATGCTGTTTAATATTTGGATTCACATAATAATAACAAGTAGAATTATCGTGCAAGTAAACAATATGCTTTTCCTATTAAAAGTAATGAAAACCTAAACTAAGTGAAAACCCCTCCCCCTTTATAATATTATGTAACTGACATATTTATGTCTTTTTATATTTTGATTATATTTGACTTTGTAGATGAGTATGGTTTTTAATTGTACTTTTGATGTTTCCTTCTGTATTTTCTTGTTTGTGTTCCTTTGTACATTTGAACTACACTACTTGGGCTGCTACTGTACTTTGGGTTTTAATAAAGAATAAAGAGTTTATCATTGTTAAAAAAAAATCATTGACTAGGATAAAGATTTCCCATACGAATAGAATATACAAATGGTACTGGGTAAAAGACAACTTGATTTCTTGCTTCAAACAAGGTATCCATTTGTAGAAGTCTATGAAGATAAGCCTATCCAGTAGTGACATTAAAGGGTCGGGACCAGGACATACCTTCAACTTTAGATTGACAAAGATTGAGATATCTTAAATAGACACAATGCATACACAGGCCTAGTTCTAGAGTCCAGTTAAAATATGTAATAATGTATTTGTGAATTTTCTTTCCTTATAGTTAATCCATGTCAAGTCTGTAAGTAAAAACAACATTTACTTATAGAAAATTGACACTGGATTAACTAAAGGAAAGAAAATTCACAAATAATTTACTGAATCCGGAATGAATATATTCCCTATGATGTAATATTGTATTGGATGACATATAATCATATATTTTACTTAAACATTATGCGTCAATATTTATTAATAGTAAAATAAATTAGATTTAACGTAATGGAAGAAGCATGAAGAAAGAAGAATAGGGAAAAAACTCAGAGCAGCTGAAATATTTACCAAAAATAAACAATCCTTTTGTCAATATTGCATCACGTTTTTGTGAAAAAACTTTAGTCTCTAATCTTCAGAGGTCGAGGTGCCGGCATCCTACATGTTTCATATATACATGTGATTTCCAAGATTTCTTTATGAAAAAAGGTGTAAAGCTTTTAGTAATGCTATAAAGGCCAAAAAAAAAAAATTAAAAAAAATTAGATGATTCTGAAGAATATGAATTTTGCCTTGAATGATTTTAGTAGTAGTGCATATGAACAGGCTGAGAATATGCTAGGAATTGCATTTAAAGATAAAAACGCACCCACGGCAACACCCCCTGGCAGTGTATGACAGTTGCTTTTGAGTTCGTAAAAAATATAATAATAATAATAATAAGATATAACGCCTAATAGAATAATAATGTATAATGCGAGGGTGCGTATAATAGAATAGTTTTAAGAATATATGAAAAATGTTGCATATATACAAAAGAAACTGTGTGCAATGTTTTATATAAAATTGTATAAATAATAATAAAAAATATAATAATAAGCAATATAAGCATTTCTTTCAAGTAGAAATCATGATTCTTAAACTTGAACCACTATGTGCTATAAAAGAGACTAAGACATTTTCATATTATAAATAGCATCCTGAAGAAGTTTGTTGCATAACAAAGGCTTTGTGTTCAATAAATTATATTTTATAAGTTTTTTTGACTGATTTAGTTCAATCCAATTATTTTTAAATAGTAAACTAATATTTTATGTTACTTACGCTTGCTTTCGTCTTGTTGTCAACAAGACTTCATCAGCTGAATGAGTTCAGTTTATTATTCATGACTACTCAGGTGTCCTATATTGGAATAAGTCACTTCATGGAGATCATATAGTTCAAATTTGTTTTCATGTACTTTATTTCAGTTTCTGGTTTTACTGCTTTTTCTTTGTAAGCATTTCAAGCATTCTAGTCCTTATTTTTGTTGAAAGTAAAGTGATCAATGAAACCTGTAAGCTTGTAAAATAACATACTAGCTAAGAATCCATTGTCTACCCTTTCAAATGACTATAGCGGCAGTAGTTGACTTTTTCAAATTTTTCATCTGTCCACTTAAAGACTAAATGACACTTACAGCCAGCCAACTGTTGCCCATTTGGATCATCACAGGACTGCAGCTCTTCCAATGCTGGTCGTATCTTTCATCATTGATGTTGAATAGCGAGCTTCTAATTAAAAAATAATTAAAATAAAAAAAGTGCACAGTGCCTTTGATCATTGATTTGGAATTGACACTACAGTATATAAATCATTAGCATTACAGTATATTATTATTATTATTATTATTATTATTATTATTATTATTATTATTATTATTATTATTATTATCATCAATCTAACCATTAAATTAAACATTTGCTGATCTGTACTGATATGTTAAATAAAATAATAATGATAATAATGATACTGGTATTATTAAACACGACCCTGATTACAAGGAAAAGCCCAAAAAAGCACTGTAATGATGATTGGGTTTTCAGTTTTAGGCTATGTCTCAAATACAAACAATGCTGTATCAGAGCCAAATCACAGGACAATTGGTTCAGGATATTTAAATTTTTAATAGCATTTAAATGCATTATGTTTGGTTCGAAAATTAACATAACATGAACACAAGAGTGAAGAACTTCAAGGTAACGTACACGCACTGCTTGCACGTTTTCCTGGCTTGTAATTTTGTTTCACAGATTTATCCCACATCTCAATTCTTTCAACCTCAGTTTGAGTAGGTTCACAATCAGGATGAAAGTCAATAGTCAGGTGGGCCTATTACCTACTGCTTTGGAACTAGAGTAGATGCAAATATAGAGAAAAGTATTTACTGTTTGTAGGCCTACTGTGCAGTGTGCTAAATGCATCTTTATCTCTGTTTTTCCATTATAATATTTTAATATAAAGAAAACAACTTTTTTTTTTGCATGGTTTATCATCCATGAATAATAAAATAAAAATTATGAACACACAATATATAAACAAACAATTAATGGAATGCAAGTTGCATGCAAAATACTCTTTTGATTAGAAACCGTGTGCAGTGTTGATCAATATGACTGCATTGCCTTTAATAATAAGTTTAGAATATTTGTCAATTTTGTTTTATTTTAGATATAAAGCACTTTTAATTTCCCAGGGTCCACATGCTTGAATGTTGTTTCTGGTGGAAAAAAACCAACTGTGCAGATAAAGTGCTTTATTCAAGGACACAAGTGAAATGCACAGTGAGGGATTCAAACCCTAACTTTAAGAACCAAGATTCCATTCCATTTATTGACAAATATACAAGTACAGTACATGAAATTTGTTTTCATGAGTTGGGAATACACATTATATGGATATAAATTAAATAATTACCTGAAAGACATAAATACATTGCATAAAATACTTAAATTATATTTAAATTAACAATAAATATAATATATGAGGGATGCCATCCCAAACCCAGCGTTGCCGTCGCTGTATGTTAAACTGAGTAATAACAATGTATATGTCAGTACTGTACTGTACATACTTTAGTACAGCAAAGCTGTAATACTTTTACTCATAACTTTGGCAAAAGTAAATCAGTTCCAGTAATGAGCCATCATTTTAAAGCTTACGATGTAAAGAATCAGAATATATTCAAAACTCAATTATCATTTGTTGGTTACTGATGCTGGTTTTGGGATGGCAAGCTTCATGATACAGTAATGAAGATCTGAGTTGTACTCTGAGGAGGTAAATGAGAAAAGCTGTATATGGAGGTCAAATGTTGATAATTTGAGGGGTTCCCCACCTGTCACCATGCATTGCATGGCTGTGGAGAGAATCTTTACAGGCCACATATCCTGCACTCACACAATTATTGCTACAGGCCTTGTCTGACAAACCAGTATTCAACAAATTAAAAAAAAATGAAAATGAATGATAAATTTTGGGAATTTAATAATTCTGTTAATGAAAAAAAAAAAAAAAATATAATCCAAAGGGTACTTGATATCATCTACAGCATGTGCTGTGTGTGAAACCTCCTTAAAACACTTCTTAGCTACTGTAGGGCTGCTAGTACGATTAGGTCAACCAAGTTTGTCAGTGGTAGAGGGCGACATTACAACCACAGTGGGCTCTAGAAGTAGTGCAATTTGTGAATTATTCTCAACTTACCAGGTGTGTCCATGGCTCCACTGCTAAGCCTGTGTCTGACCCTTAGGGCTTCTGTCTTGCTGAAGGCTACTAGGAGGATTTGGTGGCATAACATCTGCCTCAATTGTCTCCTTCATTGCAATTCTTAACAGAAGAAAACAAAGACTAAAGAATAGATAACCACCAGTGCCCCCCCACCCCCACATGTAATTGACAATGAATCTTTTTACTTCAATTTTTGAGGATTTTTATCTCAAAGTAAAAACTACTATTGCTACAGGTATGTTTTTTTGGATTTGCATATATAGTAATATTAACAGACAGACCTATATAATGCAAATAAACAAAGTCTCCATGCTTTTCCCATTAAAAATAATGAAAACCTTTCTTTATAAGGAAGGGCATTTAAAAGGCAAATTTTCTACACAGCATCATCAAATGAATGCCAAACTGAGACAAAATTGAAACCACCAACTTGCTGGACAGCACCACCGTTCATTTCATAATCATTAAATCTTAGCAACTATAAATTGTTCACAGCAAATGGGGCCAAAATAAACTCTACAATTACTATCATTAATATTAAATAATGAGTGGAGTTGAAGCTTTGCGGGTAAGATCATTCCTTTGTTTGACATGTCTCCGGCCTTTGGGCCTAAAACAATTAATAACATAAAATAAAAATACGCACGCTTGCTAAGGTACCCTACAAACACCAAAATTTATCATTTACCAATAATTGCATATTAGTTTTGAGTATTATGCCAAAATTTATTTAACATAAAAGTATTATTTATATTACTTTTGTAGTAGAACAATTTTAGGCAATTTGTATACTTAGTTGAAGTTTTTTAAAGATAAAATTGACTTTGTCCTGATCAAGATTTTTGTGGTATTCTCCTCCTTCGCATTTTCTAATTTGGAGCATTTGTTTTCTCAAGGAATTGCGTAATACACTTTGCCAGTCAAGCCATAGGTGATAAGGTTTTCAAAAAAAAACATTGTCTCCATCAGGATTCGAACCCTAGACCCTCTCCCCAACTCCACCCCGAAAAACATAAAAAGATAAAAGATGCTCTATTTACCTCTTTACTGTTACTATTCAATGCTTCAACTGCATTCCTGACACTATCATAGAGGGCGCTATTGAGATCAGACTCATCATTCATGCTGTCATTTGTGGACTGGGCACTCTACTCAAATTGCTGGCTTTTAATTTGTTCATATGAAACCAGCGAGTCCCTGCTTCTACTCACTCATTCCACTGTACATTCACTTGCAAAAGAATTTCTCTGACTTTCGAAAAAAACTTCTGAAACTGATGGCTGTACATTTTGCTGGAAGGAATATAAAAGGAAAAATTGATTTATGAATAATATAACTACATGTAAACAGTGGGAGGCTATACAGGGGTAAAAAAAAGGGTGATATTTCAAATACCAAATGTACAGGCCTTTCATGAAGCGGCTTATTGTCCTGAATATTTTGGCTATACAGGGTAAAAAAAACGGTGATATTTCAAATACCAATTTTACAGGCCTTACATGAAGTGGTTTCTTGTCTTGAACATTTTGGCACCTTTTTAAAGAAATTTGGTTGAAAAATGGGACAGTGAGGGCCAAAAAACAAAGTTGAGGGGGAGGGGAAAAAATGAATCCCCCTTAAGCGGTGGAAATA